TTGATACAGTGAAAAATATTTGATTCTGTACTAATTCAATTCTGCCCTTCCAAATCTCAATTACTTTCACAAAATTTATAATTTTTCTTTTGTTTTTTAAAACTCTAATTAAATGAGAAAATGTCCAAACACAAATCTGAAATGCTTCAGACAATCAATAAATGAGCTTTATCACCTCTGAAACTAATTTCCATTACACTTTCTGTGAGACTCACAAGTGCAACATACAGTAATACAATGCTTCCATAAAATCATAACTGAAATAGAAATTTATCTGAATAAATTATCATATTTCAACTCATGCACATAGAAGATGGGTAGTGTGATAAGGGAACCAGTCTTTGAGCTGTAACATTGTCAGATTTATTTTCTTATGATCATTCTTTGTCTCATTTGCAAAAGGGAAGAAAAATGTCTCAGAAAGTGTCTGAAAAATTCCCAATAAATATAAAAAGTGTGGAGATGCCTATTTAAAGCACCAGTATGTCTCCACAGACATTTTTATTCATTATTACTTTAATTTACATTTTCTCTGACATACAGCCAGGTAAGATAAAAGACTCATGAAAAATCCTTCCAGTTTTCTGGAAAAGCCTAGGAGTTTCCCAACATAGAGCGCTATAAAAAATTTTAGAGTAATAATCAACAAAAATAAAAATATTATTAACATTTAAATTTAGTGCAGGAGCATCTTTTGTGCAGCAAAAGGATTATCTAGGTATTTTAAATTGATGTTTTTAAAACTAGGAGAGATCTATCAATGGACAGACGAGAAAGAAAGACCACATGTTGAGTCCATGCTTGATAGTCTGTACAAGTTATTGTGAAGTACCACTTATACTAGGACTGCCACAGAGCTGTTGGTTTGAAAGGTTAATGACTGCAGCAATCACAATTTCAATTTACAAGAAATGGGATGACAGGAAGCCAAATACAAATTGGAAATGTCCCACTGTGATGACAGCTGAGCAACAATTCATCAACAGCAGCACAGGAATATTGTAAAGCCAGAGTGCTGGGGACAACCTTTTCAGCCTGAGAAGGGCTTAGGACTTATATTAAGCTCATTTTTCAAGGATAGTATAGAACCTTAAAAATGGCTAAGTTACTTAATACAGACATAAGTTCCCCCTTGATCATTTTCCATACAATAGTTGTTATGTTATCTGAAGGTGCTTATCCCATCTTCTTACATTTTCTTTAGTGTATATCCCCTTTCATTTTAAATGTTGACTTTGAGTTCTACCAAAACACCCACTGTCCCAAAGGCATTTCAATCATCTTTGGGCATTTCCTGCAATTATACTCTAGCTCTTGCTTACTCAGAGCATAAGCTCTACTACAATGTGATCTGAGACTTACTAAAACTTTCACACAAAGATGGTCTGTGAGACCCTGTGCTCCTTCTGCCTGGATTTTGCATGTATTTTGTGTTCAGTGGAAAATCAAATTGATGATAATAAATAAAACTTTGTAATCACCAATACTACAGAAAAACAGGCGCATTTTTTATTGCATTCTTATCTGAAGTCAGTCAGAACTATGAATAAGCAATTTGAAGTCAGAAATAACAAATAACTGGAGGTAAGTTCTGTTCATCCCTTTCTCAGAAGAGACATCCTAAAACTCAACAGGATTCAGATAAATAAGCAGGCTGGAGTGAGAATCTATAGACAAAAGCTTTTCAATTAGTACTAATGTGCTGTAGGATGCTGCTAGTTTCATCTAACAGGACCACAACATCAACAGAATGACAATAATTTATGCTTTAATTTATCTTGCTCTATATTAAATTATCATGTGAAAAAGCATAAAGCACAGAGGTAGGATCTGCACAAGATTTTGATGACATCATGTTAAATATGCATGTGCCTGTGTCTTTCATTAAATCTTTTCAGTACTTTCCTTCTTAGTGGAATGATGAAACAGAATATCACAGACTCAGAGAATGGCTGGGATTGGAAGGGATCTCTGGAGATATCTGGTTGCACACTCCTGTGTATGCAGGCCCACCTGGAGAGGATCCCCAGGACCATGTCCAGAGAACTAACTTTCGGATATCTTCAAGCAGGAAGATGACATAAACCCAGTAGGCAATCTGGGCTGGTGGTCAGTCACCCTCACAGCAAAAAAGTGTTTCCTGATGTACAGAGGGAACACCCTGTGTTTCATTTTGTGCCTGCTGCTTCTGCTCCAGGCACTGGGCCCTACTGAAAAGAGCCTGGCTCTATCTTTACACCCTCCCTTCAGAAATTTCTATATGCTGGTAAGGTCCCTGCTGAGCTTTCTCTTCTCCAGACTGATCAGTCTCAGCTCCCCCAGACTTTCCCCACAGGAGAGGTGCTCCAGTCCCTTAAACATGTTTGTGATCCTTTTCTGGACTCTCTCCAGTATATCCCTACTTTTGTTTTACTGGAGAGCCCAGAAGAGGCCACAGCACTTCAGATGTGGCCTCACCAGTGCTGAGTGAAGGGCTGGTGTGGCCTCCCAGGGCTGCCTCGACCTGCTGGAAATGCCTTACCTAAAGCAGAACTGCCTTTTCTGCACAGGCAGACATTTGCTGTCTCATGCCCAACAAAGCAAAGTCAGGGTCCAGCTGGGTAGCACCCAGGAGATGTCGGTACACGAAGCAGACATGTGAAGCACACAGCATTATCTGTGCTTGGAAATACTGGCAGGATAGCACCAAGCAGGATGACAATGTGAGAAGACAGGTGGCCTGTGGCAGGCAGAAGAGGATGATGAACACTGTTAAGGGGGGAATGGTCCAAGCACAGACCATGGGAGACATTGCAATGCCATTGTGGACCAGCACCCACCAAAGCTACTCAAGATGTACTCGAAAAAAGGTAGATATGTGACAGGAAAGGTAAACTAATCAGCATAGACAAGGTGCTCAGAGAGCAGAGGTAGACTTGTCCTACCAGTTCTCTGAAGTGATTACAGAACTGTGATCTAGCACAATATATTGCAGTAGAAACTGTTAATATGAGAAATAAAATGAACTCCAACTCAATAAAAAGCTTGAAATCATCCATTTCTGAAATCTAATGCCTGAGCTAAAAAATATGACTCTAAACTGATTTATCTTTGTAACAGTCACTAGCGCTGGGCATGCTTTACAGCATTTTAGATCATAATTGATAACTTTGCAATGATATTATCCAAAAAAACTGCTGAAGTTCATGCCCATTAACTCTGTCTAGTCAAAGATATGTTATATATGCATATCTTGAATGATCATGTACTTATAAGGAAATGAAACATATGGATAAAAATGTCTTACCATGTCCTACCATGTAAGTTCCAAGTAGAACTTACATCTTGGAACAGAAAGGAATATGAACAGCTGGAATTTCTCTTTTCAGGAAAAGCCAGAAAAAGGTATCAATTAAAATACTTCCTTATAATCTGTTCTCTTTCTCCATACTTTATTTTATGCAAAGCAATATCAAGGTTCTTAGTTTCTGAAACTCTAAAAATAATTATTCTTGGAGAAACAGACAGAAGGCTTATTTTATCTTCTATACTTTGTACTTTTTTTCCTTAGATAATTAGGGACATTAGATCATGATTTGCAATGCCTGGAGAATATTGTCATTAGCAGGGGAATGTTCTCTGGAACCCTGAGGAAACGAAAAGCTTTTAAGAGCAATCACTGTTAATCACCAGCATGCCAACATTATATACTTTCTGGAACTGATAATGATACAGACAGGACACATTAAGTGACTCTGTCTTGCTTGCACTGTAAGCTTTTGATAAAAAAAAATGTGTTTAAAACATCGCTTTGCATGTCTTGCTTTCTTTACAGAATGCAGGAGAGCAAAGAACTCTGCAAGATTTATACTTCTTTTACAAGCTATTGAAGATATCCTCTCTGATTCCATAATGAGGCTTCATTGTGTTTTTATTAACTCATCTGAGTAGTAAATGCCATGGGTAAGAGATCGTCTCTTTTCACCCAAGAAGTGTGAAAGAAAAATTAGACTTCAAGGTGATAAATGCAATTAATCTTTAGTGTCAGCTTAGCAGGAGACATAGCATCTGTACAGTTGCAATACTTACAGATGAAATTATAGATTAAATTAGAAATTGATTATTAAAATTTTGCTATTATTAATTTTTAATAGAATATTTTTAAATATTTTAAATGTTAATGGCATTCAATATTCCACATATTTTTTAATGAGATAAAGGATAGTAAAATAAATAGAGAAAAAGTATATTTTTTTAAAAAACAGAGTTCAATACTAGTTACTAACATCTTTTTGAGTTTTATTTCTTTGCTGTACTTGTCTTACATGCCTCACATGTCAAAGCCAAGCCCAGCACTACAGGGCAGCTGTACACTGGAAAGTGAGTCAGACTACACCCATGTACTGGGGTCCTCAGTTGGGACCCCTGCTAAATAAAACATTGGACCTGCCACTACATCACACATTTTCACAAAAAAAAATAATCACAATTACTCCTAGTAAAGGGATCTAAGAAGTTTACATATTTCTAGAACTAGTGAGAACTGATGAAGTTATCTACAGCTGTTCACCAAATTTAAAAATTCATCTAGTGCAGTTGAAATCAATTACTTCCTGGGAATACAAAAATCAAAATCTTTCTTCTTATTGACCAAGTTTTTCAGGACTCTTCCATTATTGCATCCTTAGATAAACAACCTCAACACAAATTTCAATTTGTCTTTGAACAAAGTCTTACTATATAATTTGTACTTATTCTACTAAGAATAAGTAATTAACTTCTCCTACTAAGTTATAATTATTCTCTCCTTGAAGCTTTCTCTTTTGTCTGCATTTTTTGTTCATTAAATAGTTTAATGACTTTAGACCAATTGTTTCAGAGTGATTGTTTCCTCATCTGATCCGATATGCAGTATTTAGCTACTGAATCTCATGAGCTGCACTGCTAGTCACTCTTACACAGCTGAGACTGCAGTGGCACATCCCATAAACAGATTGCAAATTCAGAAAGGAAGTGCTTACATTCTTGAAACCTCTATATAAGATCTGAAGTTCCTTCTTTGTGAATTTACTCTGTGCTTCCAGCAGTTCAAGAGCTTCAGGTCTATGTCGTACTGTGGCCATTTCCATTTCATCTTCTACAGTGTCTGCAGAATACAAGAGACACAGAAGGAAAGCTCAACAAGAGATACTGGAAGTACAAATACTTAACCCTTTCAAAAAGACAGAGAAGAAAAAAGGGAAGAGTGAAGGAAAAGGAAAAGGAAAAAGAAAAGGAAAAGGAAAAGGAAAAGGAAAAGGAAAAGGAAAAGGAAAAGGAAAAGGAAAAGGAAAAGGAAAAGGAAAAGGAAAAGGAAAAGGAAAAGGAAAAGGAAAAGGAAAAGGAAAAGGAAAAGGAAAAGGAAAAGGAAAAGGAAAAGGCATTCTCTTAAAGGCTTGTTTTGCAGCTTTAATGACATATGATGAGTTCATTTCGAACTCATAGGAAAAGGGTGTCCATCATCTGCTTCTGTGGCTGCAAAGAACAGTGAACAGCAGTGATGATCCAGTAGCCTGCATATTATCTCATGAGTAGTAATAGCAATAAACTGGAAAGCCAACATTCTGCAAGAGCATGCATGATACATTCAGTATGACTTTTCTGTTTATACAACTCTGTGACCAAAGGAAACAATTTTATAAAACTTTAGTGACTCCAGAAAACTGAAAATTTTCCTTCAGTCAAGATAATAGATGTGAATTGATTGTATCAGGCTGGGATTTTTATTGTGAAGTTGTCCTCTGGAAAGCATGTGAAATTGATGTTGGACATTCAGCAGCAGGTTTTACTTTGAGTATTGTACAACTGACCCTTTAGGAGAAATATTATTTAGGGTGAGCAGCCTAAGTGGGGAACATGATAGTTTTTATGATCTCTTATTTAGGTAAGTAAGAATGTGGATATATACACATTCAAGGTTTACACTTACACATTCAAGGTTTACTCTTGATTGTAGACCTAAAACTATGAGAATTAGGAATGCATTTTTTTCCTAGGTAGAGTTTTATATGCTCTATGGTCAATGAAACAGCTAAAGGAACCTACAATAGCGTGCCACTCACTTGTCATCAAAAATACGAATGTGTGTGTCTATTTACAAGTACTGACAGCCTTAAACCTAATTTATGTAGTAGTCCAGATTAAGTTAATGAAATTACTGCCTTATTTTCATTTAAGAGTTATAGGAATTATAGAAATATAACATTACAAATGCCTAATTATCACTTATACAATGTTGAAGATACATATTTTATTTAATTAGATTCTGGGACTCATTAATCTTAGAATAAAGTTTATTTGGTTCAATATTCACAAACACATAGAATAGATTAAAGTAGTATTATGCCTACAGTTTCATATATTTTTGTTCTGCTATAATGCAGAAATAATGGCTTTCAGCTGCTTGGGAGAAATTTGGCATCAGAGGATACAGTTCAGCTAAACAAAAAATAAACAACCTTTAAAGAGATTTTTAATAATAGATAAACTATTTGGAAAAATCCTCACAAAAATTAGGGCTTTGTCCTTTCTCCTATGAAAAATATGTTGCTGTTAGCACTCTTCTCTGGAGGATGATCTCAGTGTGATTCAGATGATTTTTTTTTTTTTTTGGGTAACTGCAACTCAACACTGACTAAATTGGCAAAAAAAATCAACCTGAGAATAAATATTGTTGAAAGCTCACTTGTATTTTATATTTGAAGTTTTACATGGGATTTAAATGGGCTTTGATTTTAGACAAAAAAAGACTTAACTTGAAATCAGTATTCTATGTGCCCATTTGTAAAACATCTGGCTACCTAGAGAGACATCTACAAGCTTTTCTGGAAGCTAAATGAATACATATAATAAATGTGAGCCTAGAGATAAAGACCAGACATGGTGCTGAGCACAATATTTGGTATATCCTTAGCAGTAAACATTTTTATTGCATTTAAGTGATTCAGTAAGCATGTAGAAGACTGCAATAGGTAGACGATGTTAATTTAAAGGGTGAGTATAACATTCTTTACACTCGACTTCTCTAGTCTCTTATAGATAGACATAATAAAAATGCAAGATCATCATAAACTTCCTCAAAATCAACCAAGTGTGATGACTAAAATGCTATAGCATTCATGAATCATTTGCAGGTTTTAATTTTTTTTCTTCACACTTCTAAACTTTAAAATATGCAGAAAAGTGTGTGAAAATCTATTTTTACTATTTCTATTTTTATCTGTTTCTAAACAATAATTATTTCTGTGGCATTAGTTATTTCAGTTCTTTGGTTTATTCAACCTAGATAAATTAGGAATACATTTTTTCTTTCACAGAAATGAAACTTCATATCAACTGAAAACCAGAAACAAATTCATAATCCCTCATTAATGTACCAAACAAAATATTCTTCCTGATTTCATTAATTAGTAGATTTCTTATAGCTAAATACTAAAGACATTTTTTTAATATGAATATCATAGGAGATATGCTTTGAACCTTTCATTATTAATTAAAGATGGTAAAAACACTGCAAAAAACAAATGTACTCTTCAAACAATTCATATCTGTAAAAAATTGTGCACATGCATTTCCTTGCACAAACTCCACATTATAGCTTCCCTAAATATTTAGTATGTTTTTCTTTTTCAAAACCATTGAGTGTAGTCCTACCCTAGTGTACTTGCTCATGCACATATCTAGGGAATGATGGTTTTAAATGTAGACTTCCTAGATTAGAGCACACAATGAAATGTTCTTTTACATGCTCTTTTCAACAGAAATGCTGAAATATTTTCAATACGAATGCTGAAACAAGATTATACATTTTTAGATAACCTTTGTAAGCACATATTGATAGAAGTGCAAATTCAGGCTATGTATATTTCAATAAATGACTTGTTTAAAAAATATTTCCCTGATAATTTCTCAGGAATTCACATAATATGATTGCTATTGTAAGTGGTGCTGTTTTCATTCCTAGGACACTATAATGTTGCTTGCTTTATGCTAGCAGAAATTAAATAGCACACGATGTCAAAATGGAATAATAACAGTGTATATCTACAATGATAGTCTTATTCAAGATTTTCACTTGATATAACATTCTTACTTAATGTAGCGCTTAATTATTGAGGAGATTACAGAGAAAATTACTGAATGTACCTTTTTTACTGCTTGATTCTCAAATAGGAAATATTTAATACTCATTTTAGTTCGACTTATCTTCTGGTTTATAGAGTACTTTCAGTACCCTATAAATGTAAGTTTGTAAGTAAAATGTAAGTTTGATGTGGTCAAGATTTCTGAGACTGACTCCAAATATATTTGGTTACCTGTACAGATGAAGAGCTTACATAGAAATGTGCAAAGAACAAGGACATTTCACTCTCCCAGAGACTTCAAACAAACTTTTTATTCATTCTGCTCTATTTCCTTATCTATTCCATTCCCCATCCCTGGGAGTGTTCAGGTTGGATGGGATTTGAGCAACCTGGTCTTATGTAAGAGGACTGGACTAGATGATTTTAAAGGTTTCTCTTCCAACTCAAGCAAACCTGTGATTCTCTGATTCCTTTTATCGTCTAGGGCTATATTGCTCAGGCCATGTACCTGAAAGTAACTTATCCAGAAAGAGTTATTAACAAGTGCCACAACAGTAAGTGCAGTTTTTAAGCTATCTTATTTTCAATTAAGACATATTAGCTAAAGACACCATGAAAAAAATAAATCAGTGTACATCCAGAAATTTAGCCCTTTTCATCTCAAATACTTAAAAGGAAAGCGAGCATCTGAGTTTTCTCTACAGAGGAGAGGATATGAAAGAAAGTGAAGGGGGATAGTGTAAAGAAACCTTAGATCTATACCTGTGAAAATCTTGACATTTAGTAGGGGTCAGTATTTCTTTCAACCTGTATGGTTGTCCTGGATTCACTAGACATGGGGAACTGCTCTTGCAGGCTTTTTTTACCATAGATTGATTGATGTGCTTTATCAGAAGAGTATACAATGTGAACCATTCAGCTTCTGGTGTTAGGTGCCCATATTAATGCTTAGAATTCAGTCAAATTAATCTACATTGAATTGGATCCAGAGAGATATTTTAAAATTTGCTACAGGAGTCAATTTATATAGGAAGACGTTATAGTGTTATTACTATAATTAATCTCTATCTAGGAATATATATGTATCTATGTATTGATCTCTCACTCCCTCTACCCCTCTATATTTTTCTGTTACCTACTCTGGAGAGATTGTACCAAGACATTCAGTATAATATCAGTGTGCTTTTCCTGTATATCCACATTCACATACTTTCTTTTCAATCTCATTATTTGTTTTTCTCTCAGACAACAACTTTAAGTCCTGTTCCCTAAATATTTTGAAGTTTTGTATTCAAAACCTGCAGGGCCATTCCTTTCCTCCCAGACCAGTTATGATTGTACCCCCTGTGTATTGAATAGCAAGCACACACAGACATGTGCATAAAAATGCAAAAAAAAAGTTACCACTTTTCAAATACATGGAGAGCAGGTATTAAATTTAACCAGGGAATCACCTGTCAACTAACTTGTAGATCATAAGAGCCATAAGTGATAATCTTTGGTTATCCCCTCTGCTGCAACTGCCAAGCTCCTGTGTGGCAGACCATGGCAGTGGCATCTTGCCATCCTACTCTGCACAGACAAATCTGTGCATCACTAGATTTTAAACCTTGATAAACCATATGATTACTTCAGCAGATATCTCACCTCACAAATGAGCAGTTAATGAAACTGCAGTTAATGAAGCAGTTAATATAACTTTTGATGCATGCAAACCTAAAAAAAAAAAATCAAATTAAAAAATGAAAAATAAAACTTGCTTTGAGTAACAGGAGATGTCGTTTTGGCAGCCGAGCAGGGCAAGAGCTTCATAAGTCGCTCTTTAATGCTGCGTTTGGTACTGTTCTGAGCGTAGAGGAAACCTAAAAAATATATTATCAGGACTGTTAACATAGGCTTGAGAACAATTTCTGTACATGCTGCAGGGTTCATCATTAGAGCAGAATCCTGATGGAAAAGGCCAAACAGATGGCAGCCACATGAATCACAAAGGGCAACCAGAATTTTTGAAGAGGACAACAAAATTGTTTTGTCTTTGTATCTTTCCAGCATCTTTCCAATACAGGGGATTTGTTTATCTGTGTGCAATTCTTGCAAGATTTTTATAACCCACCTTAAATTGTCTAACAGAGAAGTGTCAGATTATTAATTTGAAACAACAGGAGGCAAAAGAAGGTATGTAAAAAATTTTAATGTTCAAATATTTTAAAGATTTTAAAGTCTATTTCATTTTGAATTTTAAGATGGAAAGCAAAACCAAACCAAAATGAAATCTCAAACGATATCTTTTGTTGTCCTTTCTGGCAGACTTCTAATTCCATGGCTGAGCTTTCCCATATAATGAATTCGGCAATTGTGATAACCAGTCTGGTACGTTTGCCTTTTCTGAGTAATAAAATATCAACCATGATGTGTAGTCAGTCTCCCTTTAATATTTGGCACTCTACATGTATAAAATATAAGTATTATTTATACTCTGATTTTAAAGACTAATTTGGCTGAACAGCTAATGTTCATGTGCTATAAAGCAGGTGAACAGCATCACCCTTATTTACTGTGATGGAAACTGTTGGAGTATCTTCCTATGAGGTCTAACCAACCATCTTAAAAAAATGGGTGATATGAGCAAGCATTGCCTGGGTAGATATTTCCTGCAAATGGCAGACTTAACACCTGTAAAACAGCTCAGTACCTGATTTATGTTCCTGAGAGAGGCAGAGCTTGCCTGGGACATAATGCAACTCCTGCACTTTTCATCTCGACTGCATGCACAGAAACACAAACACTGCTCTATGATGGCTGTTGCCACAACAGCCAGAGTGCAAAACAGATAGGGCAAAAGATGAAAGACACAACTGACAGGTCCTGTGCTAAGGGCACAGGCACCAGGATAATCTTAGATTATCCCCTCCGCTGCAATTGCACTGAATCCTGGTGTTAGAGACATGACGTAGAACTGTTCCCAAGCCATCTGAAGTATGTGCTTGTATTTGGGAACAGCAAGCAAGAAGCTTTAAGGATATTAAACTTTGTAAATAAAAGGGGAAAAAAATATCAGTTTGTATATGAGTAAAACATTCAAGGAAATGAAAAAGAACTGAGAAAAATCAGGCATGACTCAGCCACAGCCAGAAAAAATCAACCAACTTTCAGCAGAAAAATTCTACCTCTGAAAGAGCAGCAGCTCTGATGAATACACAAAACAATCCAGTTTCAGCACAAGGTGAGATGGACCTAAATGACTACCTCAGGAAATGTCTAAACCTTTTAATACAACTAAGAATTAATACACTTTTATCTTGTAGCACCTAACCATCAGCTTAACTCAGAAACATAGTGCAGATAAATGCATAAAATATGCAGTCTGGGACCTGATGGGATCTCAAACTTCCTATTTTTAATTTGAGCAACAAACCTGAGTCTTTAAATGGGTAGCTTGCTGTCTCAGCTGGCAATGTCTGCGGTATCACACTATGCCTGTACTGCATCTACCTGAGCATGAAAGAAATCTTTTTATCTGAAAAAAATTTTTGTTAGGAATTCTTCTAGCACAGACATGATACAGAAATACCCACAGCTATCTTATTTGTTTGAGTAAAGCTTTCCAAATTTTACTTTACAGTAAATTACTTATATAATTACACAGGTCCATACCTATGTAACTACTGATGATATATACAATCCTTTAAAAAACATAAAGGGATGTATTATTTCTAAATGGTTTGAAGCTAAAAGCCTTGAGAAATAGATAATTTTGCTATATTTAACACACAAAAAGCTCATGGAATTCAATACAATCCATATGGGCTTTGCAGTAATATGATTAAGGTCAAAACCAAAATAATATATATAGGAGAAAGTAATATCAGAGGAGTAAGTAACTGAGAAGAACAGTATAGCTCTGCACTCACTTCTGGCAGCTAATTTAAAATTTTGACACTATGGTCAGGGAAGAAGTGACAGGATTGGTTTATCTTCTCACAGTATGAGAAAACAGCATGGAATCTTTTCATTCCCAGTGGCTGTAGTTATTGTGCAGCTACTCCTGTTATGATCTCCTGATCAGTACTGCAGCTTTCAATGTGATGTTTCATGAGCTAAAATTAAAAAATACTTAATACAGAAAAAACATGCTGCACACTGGGTCTATGCTGTGTAAAAACACTGAAAGTGATAATGAAGATGAAATATTTTAATAATTTCTGTGAATTCTGTACCTATTTGCCCAGTTTGAAACAGGTTAAGGAAAAATCTTAACCTCTAATATGACCATTAAGAAACTAATTAATCTAATAGATTACAGTAGGAAACTCTTATTACCAGTCCTTAAAGTGGCTGGTCATGAAAAGAGCTATGAAGCATCAACACACTGATAATGATGGACTGATGCTATTTCCTTCAAACTTTTAGAATAGAATAATAGGAATTCTTAGCCTGAAAGAGATACCTAGGAGAAACTGAATTTTCCAGATTATTTTTGGGGTTTTTTTTCCCAATAATATGTTGACTAGAAATGTCATAGCTCCTACCCCTAACCCACTAAGGCACAAACTCCTCTGGGCTAGATGTGAAGGCTCTTCAAATTAAGGTTAGTTCACTGGTGCTGCTTGCTCATGGATTTAATAATCTGTTTCCCTGAAAGGAAAATTAAACTGTGAGACACATTTTCCCCCAGAATTCACTGTGGGAGTGCCCTAGAACTCATCTCTGTATGACACCACGTGGAATTGTGGGCAATTCTCCCCAGAGGCGCTTACGTTTCACAAACAGTTCTGTAACTGGAGCACGGCTCACACATTCTCACATCTTGGTAGCCCTCTACTGCTACCTGTGCACAGACCTGGGGCACACGACCTCCTGTGGGGGTGCCTGCTATTTAGCATGATTTATACCTGCAATTGCAACTGTTAAATTCATCAATGGCCTAAACCTCCTGAGTAGAGATGCTTAAACTAGAGAATTATAACTTACAAATCAAGGCTTACAATCAACACCTACATATGGCCAGGGCAATTTTTTCCAGACTGCTACTTTTAAAAATTGTACTTGACCAAAAGCATCCAGGTCATTGTCACATGTGTGACCTAGTGACTGCTTTATCACAGTGTTGACACTGCTGGTTATGAAAAAATACAAAAATATATAAATTTTTATAAGCTAAAAGTTATAAGTGATTAATAAATGACTGTATATTTCTAATAATATACACCTACACCTAGACTATCTAAACTCAGTGTATTTACTTTTTTCGGACATATGATCCTAGTTTTAGAAATTAGTAGAAATTTAGTACATATTACATATTGCCCTGTTGTTACAGAGATAGGTCAGACTACCCCAGGAAAGACCATCTAGAAAGGAGTTTTCAGAGGCAAAATATCTCCCTTTTTAAGTGTGATTGGCATCTTTGAAAACTCTTTATAGTCAGCATGACAGCAAGGGCAGGTAGGCCACTTTTTGCTGCAGTGGCAGATAAATCAGAATGTCTTAGACATCCACTAAGTGCACAAGATAGACCTTGCTGTTGCTGCCCTTGCCACCAAAGCCATGCTCACCTTTCCTGCTTTCACAAAATACTCTCTGTTCAAAGAAGTACCTACCTGCCTTGCTGTCTTTTTGTAATGGGATTTAAATTATATCCCATTTATGTGAAATCTATACACAGAAGGCATAGTAATCTGAATCCCTAAAATATTTCGGGGCTGGTAATCATCCTATTTAGGAGGATGTTTCTAGTTCAAAAACTAGAAACAATTCTTCCAACAATTTTTGTCCTTCTGTTAGTGAAGGACAAAAGCCACATGTAAACTACCTCTCTTTTTTTCCCCACTCTTTTTCTCTTCATGCTTTTTTATTTCTGTTAATTTTTTTTCCTTCTCAAAGTCTCCCTCTTATATTTGGCAAAGCCAACAAGTTAGCTCACACTGTTTAAATCTACCTCTGCTTTTTAGTCAGCAGCATTTACAATCCATGGGCCATCTCCAATGCCTTAACAGTACAGCTAAGGTCCCAGTAGTGCTAGAATTTGGATTTTGTTCACCTACAAGATTTTATGTCTTCCCATTTAAAATGGGAAAAAAATTTCTTTTATATTAGTTTTGGATGTGATATCTTTGGAAGATATTTAGCTTAAGACCTGAAATCTAGGCTGGACAGATAATTTTTTTTTAATACAAAATTTTGAGACAAAAGTGACAAAGACTCTGAAAACTGAAAGGGAAATGCATTAAGTGGTTTCTTGACATGATGATTTACGCTTAATTTAAGCTGTTTGATGGAATTTCTCTCAGGGACTTAAGGGCTGGCAGCCCCACTAAACTGTTAATGGTTCATCACAGATGGAGTGGCAGAGGAGACAAAATGAAGTGTTGATTTCATATTCATAGTTCAGGACTTGTGAAAGAGAGACAAATCAGGCACATGTGCCTTCTGTGTAGTGAGCTTGGGAATAGAATGAAATTATGTACAACATAAATATTTATAAGTCTTGGCCTCAGTTCTTTGGAAGCACCTGCTAGGAACTGTGTGAGTTGTCAGTAGGCTACATGGTAGATTGTCAGCATTCTTTGTCAAGCCAGGAAAACATTCTTGACAATCTCGTTTGTCTGTATACGTGCATTCTATTGTTTCTTCCTCTACTGATCCTAGCTTCCTGTTTTTCATTGCAATATATACCTATCAACTTCATTGACTACTAAAAACCCTAGAGATCACATCAGATCACCGGTGAAGGTACTGAGTTAAAAAATGGATGGCAGCATTTCAGGGAATACCTTGAAACTCTAATTTAAAAGTCAGATTGCTCTCCTTCACTTTAAATTCTCCTGTACATACTGTTATATATCAGTCTTCCAACAGCAGA